TTGTCAGCTACACGAATCCGTATTTGTGTAGCCCTATGTAATCATTTACATGATGGGTTCCTGTAGTTGTCCCTCAATAGCTTACGGAATATTTTAAAAATGCAATATTCAGCCCATAAAGGGCTGTTTATGCACTAAAGAGACCTCTGTGGCATTGATGGAAACTTAAAACACACAGACCAGATGTTTCCGCAGAATTAAAAACCCAACGTGGAGCAGAAATAAGATAATAATATCTAAATCCAAACACCTTTGTTTGTTTCGGTGACCCCCCAGGTGGGAAAAGGTGTCACTCCTGAATTATATATATAATTTAGAAAATCAAGGCACAACCTTTTTATCTTGGCCACTGTTTGTAAGGCAAACACACCGTGAGAGGAATAATCTTTTTGTTTTATAATGATATTGTTGTGGTTGGTTGCCCAGCCAGCCAGATGTTTAGAGTGGATTTGGCATTTTTATCCAATTATAGTTATTTCCGAAGAAGGCTCACCAAATGGTGGTGATTTATGATCAAGCCAAGCTTCCTTCTGAAGTCTTAATACCGCTCCATGATATATAGGGTTCGAAGCAAAGTTGCTCTTTTGTAAATTAAATTTTGGGAGGTCAATTAATTCTAATTTTCTGCGATTGTTCTATGGCTGTAACTCCTAACATGGCAATAATTTTGGGAAGTTTGCATCACGGTCTTTGAATTTTAATTGAGATGATGATGATGATGATGATGATGATGATGATGATGATGATGATGATCTCCCCTTATTAGTCATTTAGGTGAGGTGGGAGGTGTAGATATCATCATTAAATAAAATGAAGCATAATCAAACAAATTATTATAACCAACGTTATCATCATTAATTAATCCATATGCTGGACTTGAAAACGGGGTTTCCCCAGGCAATTTTCTAACAGATTAAAGTCAGGATGAATTCTAAAATAAATGCAAATGGATAATAAATCACAAAGGACTATATAGCACTAAGTTAATAAAAGGGAAAAATGAAACAAAAGCTTTCCAAAGAAACTAATCAGAACTAATGCATTAATTAAAATGGTTACATTTTCACTGTAGTCGATCAATTGAAACAATTATATAAAATGGGCCCCTTTCCAAAGTTTGCACAGCGTGGTCAATGACAGAAAAAGGGCATTATAAAAATAGGCTGTGGAATATATATCTATATGTATATTATATCTATCTATCTATCTATCTATCTATCTATCTATCTATCTATCCATCCATCTATCCATCCATCCATCCATCCCTATCTATCCATCCCTATCTATCTATCTATCTATCTATCTATCTATCTATCTATCTATCTATCTATCTATCTATCTATCTATC